CTCTTCCTGCCCATCATGCCTTGCTTTCCACCCATCCACCTGTGCGTTCCCACCTGACTGTGAATCCTTCCCCTTCTCACAAGCCGTCCCATCACCTGCACCACATCAACGTCCTTCTCCCAACAGCACTGACTGGTGCATGGAGCTCCTGTGGGCACCCAGAGAGCTGCCTCTGTGCAGGAAGCTGGGAGCATGGCTGGCGGAGTGCTTGCAAGTAAATGTGCAGGGAAAGGCACATGGACAGGTGGCAGGGGAGGGGAACAGGAGTGTGTGTGGGGGGGGGGTCTGTGACAGTGGGCCCTCACCAGGAGCCTTGGATCCTGGCACCTGTCCCATCTTCAGGTATGCTGATGCCAGCCCTGCTGTATGCGATAACTTCTCTGGAGCACTTACGCTTCTGACTCGGGTGCCCAACTCTTTTTAAATGTTTGTAATTATTAAAAGGAGATGTGGTGGCTCAAGTGGTTAAGATGCTGAACTGCAGGCTGTGGAAGGTCGGTAGTTCAGCAGTTCGAGACCCGGGTGCCGCATGACAGAGTGCGCTGCCGTCTCTAGTTCCAGCTCCTGCCAACTTAGCAGTTCGAAAGCAAGAATTTGCAAGTAGATAAATAGGTACCACTTCGGTGGGAAGGTAACAGCGTTCCGTGCGCCTTGGTGTTTAGTCATGCCGGCCACATGACCACAGAAACGTCTTCGGACAGCGCTGGCTCTTCGGCTTTGAAACGGAGATGAGCACCGCAACCCTAGAGTCTGATTCGACTGGCGTTCGAGCAAGGGAACCTTTACCTTTTAATTATTAAAAAGCAATGACTCCAGATTGGGAAATTCCTGGTGGTTTAGGGGCAGAGCCTGGGAAGTTTGCCCTCCGAAGCTGCTATTTGGGGACTCGAATGAACACACATGAAGCTGCCTTATAGTCCCCTGACCTGGATAGCCCAGGCAAGCCTGATCTCGTCAGATCTTGGAAGCTAAGCAGGGGCGACTCTGGCAAGTACTTGGATGGGAGACCGCCTTGGAATGCCAGCAGTCGGGAGGATGGGGGCAGGCTTTATTCAGCCGCCTCTCTGAATGTCCTCCTGGTCCCCCAGTAGAGGTCAGTCACCAGAGGTCGCCATGACTTCCAGGTGCACACACACGCACACACACACGCATGCACAAATGAAAATTACCCCCAAAAAAGCTGCCTTATACTGAATCAGACCCTTGGTCTATCGAGGTCAGTACTGTCTATTCAGACAGACAGTGGCTCTCCAGAGTTTTGGGGAGAAGCCTTTCACAGAACCTCCTATTTGGTCCTTTTAACTGGAGATGCCAGGGATGGAACCTGGTGGGACCTCCTGCATACAAAGCAGAGGCTCCTCCACTGATCTGCAGGCCCTCTCGGGCTTAAGGGGAACTGATCCCTATCATCTGGAGCAACGTTCCCTCTGATCTGTGGAGTCTTGTGAGCAAAAATTCTACTTTGTGAGCTCCTGGCATTAAAGTTGTGAGCAAGCAATTTGGCTACTGCATGAATTAGTTTGCTCTGGAGCCCTCCTTCCTGAGCCAAGACAAAACTGTGTGAGCCAGAGGCTAAAGAACTGTGAGCTAGCTCACACTAACTCAGCTGAGAGGGAACACTGGTCTGGAGATCAAGTTGTAATTCTGGGAGATCTCCAGGCCCCACCTGGAGGCTGGCAACTCCACTTCTGATTGCTTCATTCTGCCGTGGGCAGAACCGCCCTTGTTCTATGGCTTTCTCCCTTCACCCTTTGAGACTCAAGGCCTGCCTTCAACCACCTCTTGCGACATGGGCTCTGTTTCTGTTTTTGTTCTGCAACGGTCTGGTGTTTTCCTGCTTTCTCCATTTTTTTCTCTCCTTCACATTCTCTCTCTCTCCCCTTCTGAGGTCTGGATGAGGACTGAGTCCAAAGTATTTTCCCCCAGGGACTTTGCTCTCCTGCAAGAGCTCATTGCCACTGAGCAGCCTTTTCAGCAAGGCCCTGTTTGAATGCAAAAGCCCTCGGAAGAACAGTTGGGCTTTCACTGCTGTCGCCTTTCAAAGCCTTCGCTAATAAGCAAGAAAATCAAAGCGGTGCCAGGCCGTAATCCATTTGGGGTTGAAAACTAACATTTATAAAACTATCAAGACTATAAATATGTGTATCAAAGATGCAAAATACCCCCCCCCTTAAAATAAAAAAGCCCTGTTTACAACCTTTTGGCTGGACCTGATAATACTGCTGCTGGGTTTCTCTACCTCCAGGTGGAGCCTGGAGATCTGGAACTACAACCAATGTCCACAGTACAGAGATCGGTACCCCCTGGAGAAAACGGCTGCTTTAGAAGGTGGACTCTATGGCATTATGCCCTGTTGAGGTCCCTCCTCTCCCCCAAACCCGAGTTTCTGCAGGATGCACCCCAAATCTGCAGGAATTTCCCAGTCTGGAGTTGGCAACTCTAATTTGCCACAGTTGCCATTAAGTGTTTTTTTAAACATTAACTAATGCACTTGCATTTTTCTTTTCGCAATTTAATTTTTTTCAGTAAGTGTAAGTAAGGTAAACATTTAATCCCTTTAAGATTATTGGGGGAGGGGGATGGATGTTCAGTATTGAAGTTTAAAGCTGAATTTTGTTTTCATATTAGTGGCAGTTTCTGATGGTGGCTTTTTACGAAAAAACGGTTCCAACCACAACTTAAAACCATAGTATCTCCTCTGCTTTTTTGCCTGCATCCTTTCGGCTGCCCTCCCAAGAGTCCGTTAATTGTTTCTTAGCTTAGGTTCCGCTGTAATTTAATGCTGAATCAACCCCCAAGGAGGCCTTTAATTCTGGCAGCACCTTCCCTCCCTGTGGAATTTATGAACTGGGCACAGGCACTGTGAAGATGGAGTCCAGGAAGGAAGGAAGCCACTGTGGTGTATTCCTGGTCTGGCTATTATATTTTTATCTCATCCTTCCTCCAAGCAACTCATAGCAAGATCTTGCCTTCCCTACCTTACCTTCAAACCAACCCTGCAAGGTAGGCTAGGCTGGCAGTGTGCAACCGACCCCAGTTCGCCCAGCAGACCAGGGATCTGAATCCTAGTCTCTGTAACCCAGGGGGTCCCCAATGTTTTTGAGCCTGCAGACACCTTTGAAGTTCTACCACAGCATGATGGGGGCGCAGCCACAAAACGGCTGCCAAACAATGTCTGCCGCGGGAGGTGGAGCCACCAGCCATAAAAAAACTTCAGCCCTGGCTCCTGCCTGGTGGAACTCTCTGACAAATAACGTCCGCGCACTGCGGGACCTTGTGCAGTTCCACAGGGGGTGCAAGGCAGAGATGTTCCGCCGGGCTTTTGGTTGAGGACAGCAATGGGGACCCATCCTATCTGGCACACCCTCCCCCTCCCCCCACCCTGCTTTCTCTTGCTTATTGCGAGACAGCAATGCAAACTGTAAACTTGTTTTGGTGCCATCTGATGTTGTTTTTAGCTAGTTGCTTGGATTTTAAATTGTGCGATATTATGTCGCTAACCACCCTGAGCGCTGTGAACTCTGAGAAGGGCGGTATATACATTGAAATTATAAGTACATGCATGCATAAAATGGTTGCTGCAGCTCACCTTCAGTCACGCAGTGAAGAGCCTTGTACTGCTAGGGCAGCTGCTGCCAAAGCAACTTTTTTAAAAAAAGATCTGCACAGCCAATCAGAAGCCTGGCCACAGCCACGTTCTAAAAACACTTGGTGGGCACCAGCCAAGGGGTCGGCAGGCACCATGGTGCCCTTGGACCCCACACCTTGGGGACCCCTGCTCTAACCACTACCTCTGACGGCTACAGCCCTTTCTGCAAAGCCAGGTCCCCCAGGTAAAGGCTCTGGGGTGCCTACAGAGCGCAGAAGCCAGGAGGGGGGGGGCGCGTGAGGAGAAAGCGTCCCTGCCAAGGGGAAGAAAGAACCGGGGCACTCATGCAAACGGGACGGAAACAGCAACTGCCAACTGTTGGCCAAACTCCCGCGGGAGCCCTCAGCTGACCAGCATTATGTGCAACGCGCAGCTTCACATGACCCGGCCCATCTGCCGGGGGCTGCAGGCGGGAGGGGGCTGGTGTTCTCATGTGTTTGCAAAGCTGCCCTTCTTGGCATCGGGGTACAGCGTTTACCCAAGAGCAAATGCATTGGGGGAGAGGGTTCGCCGGCCTTTAAATTTCTCCGAACCGCACCGCCGGAACATTTTGGACTCTGTTCTGGCAACGTGAGAAGGTGCGGCTCCTCCCGCTGAACTCCAGGGCTTTTGGACGCCGGGCTCGCACGACCAGGCTCAGAACCGCTTGGAACGTCCCAGCGCAGTTGCAAAAGAGTCGGTGGTTGGGAGAGCGAGCGAGCGAGCGATCTGCAGAAACTTCCCGCCTAGCCGACCCTTTTTTGCGCCCAGTGCTCTCGGCGTGCCACCTGGCAGTGCGTCCAACCGACAGCTTCATTTTGGAGAAGGGGGATTCTTGTTTTTATTAAAATTAGAAGTCTCTGGCCGGTAATCCCACCCCCTCGTGTCCAAAGCCTTCCCTCTCTTCCAGCAGTACAGGAGGGCTGGGGGATTGCAGCACGCAGGGCGGAATGGAGAAAGGCGCTTCTGTATTGTTTGTCAAAGAAAGAGGTGTGGGGGCTCATAGGTTGTAGAGGAAGGGGGTGGCTGGCTACACAAGGGGGCTGAAACGCCCTCTGCACACGCTCGGGGGCCTCTTTCTGTCCTACACTGTTCCAGGGCTAAACGGCTCCTCCCGACTTCAAGCAGCTGCTCTGGAGCACCCCCGTCCTTCATGCGCTCCAGGCCAAGCCGCTGGCCCCCCTCCACCCACCCTTGCTTGAATGCAAAAGGCGGTAGTAGCACTCTGCACATGCTCGCTGCAGCAGTCCCAAGTGGAAGAGTGGCGCGCCACGGCGCAGGGAGAGCTTTCTGCGCTCCGTCCGAGGGGGCCTCCCGCGAGTTGCTTGGCCCAGGCGTCCCACCCCCTCCCTCCCGGCGGCTCCCGCCTTACCTGGGTGACGGTGAGGGCGGAGGCGCAGATGATCCCGCACAGGAAGGCTGCGGCGTGCAGGGCCAGCTCGATGAGGAGCCACCCCGACAGCTGCGCCATCTTCCAGCGGAGGGCAGGGCACACGAGCGAGGAGAGGGCCGCCAGCCTGGCCGTCTCCGCCCCGTCGAGCTGCTGGGAGGAGTTGCCGGCGCCCGGCCCGGTGCCTTTAAGGCGATAGGCAGGCACCAGTCCAACAGGGGCAGCCTCCCTCCGAATGGAGAAGCGAGGCGCCTTGGGATGCCTCCCTTTCACGCAGCTATTAATTTAAAAGTTCTTTAGCAAGGGGTGGAGGCGCTGGCTCCTTGGGAAAGTAGTGCTGGGTAGTGGTTAGAGTAGTTGCCTTAGTTTTTTAAAACTTAATTTTGTTTATACCCCACCTTTTCCCCCCAATGGGGACTCAAGCTGGCTTGCACAATTCGCCTCTCTTCCATTTTGTCCTCAAAACAACCCTGCAAGGTAGGTTAGGCTGAGATTGTGTGACTGGCCCCAGGTCACCCAGCAAAGCTTTCAAGGCAAAGCAGAAATTCAAACCTGGTTCTCCCAGGTCTCAGTCTGACATTCTAACCACTACACCATACTGGCTTTTACAGCCTGGAAGGCCTGAATTCAAATCCCCCGTGAGCCACACAGCTCACTGGTGACTTGGAATTAGCCACTCTTGCTAAGCCTAACCTGCCTCTCAGGGTTGTTGTGAAGGTAAACTGGAGGGACAACCTTACACAGGGCCCTGATATCCTTGGCAGAAGGATGAGGTTAAAAAAATAGGTCCACACTTTGGAGTGAGCAGTGGCCGAGTCTGCAGATGCCACCAAACCTTTGTGGAAATCGAAAGAGGATTGTGTATGGGCAAGGACTGTGGCCAGTCGAGTTCAACCTAAGGGTTCATGCATGCAGGGAAAGGAGGAGGCGGAGCCCTCAGGTGGCAAATGGACTCAACTACTGGTCCACTTCAGATGGCTGGTGAAGGATCACGGTTTGGAACATCCTCCTCTGTCAGGGTTCCCCAACATAGTGCCCAATAGCACTAGAGGGCCTACCAGTGCTTCCTTTGAACTTCTCAGAAAGTGGTTTGGGGCTGTTGTAAGGCAGAGCTTGTTACAGGCTGGTTGCCGAATTAAACCAAAGGATTTTCCAGTTGAGTATCACAGGACGACTTTCAGCAACCAGGATTGTCTTGGTCAGTGTTTCCAGTCCAATGCTCCCTCTAAACTGTGGAG